TCTCTCTCTCTCTCTCTCTCTCTCTCTCTCTCTCTCTCTCTCTCTCTCTCTCTCCCTCTCCCTCCGTCTTCCTCCATTCTTTCAAAACTCTTTTAACCCTTAACCCTTTCGTCACCCCTCCCTCTCCATGGCATGTGACTAACCTCTACCCTCACTTGTTACATTGCCAGGGAACGAACGGAAAGGAACTTGGTCCTCACTTGGTGGAAAGCGAGGGCAAGGGAAGGGTTGTCGCTCCCTTGTGCCACCAGGAAGGAAAGGATACGAGACTATTGAGAACATTTGTGAAACCGAAAAGGAGTGTTGTTTTTGGACGAGGTCAGTTTGACTCAACCATCCTCCCAGCATGACTGAGGCGATCACATGGCTTGCCTGTGGGAAAGGGAAGGGAACTCATAAGGGGAATTGGAAGGCAAAGGCAACTTAGGATTGCGGGAAGGGGCGATGTGTTGACCCCAATGGGGATTGTGCTTGGTCATTTGCCTTGTGTGGTCTTGCGCAGGTGAGTAGCTAGGGGCGATTTGGACGGGGCTGGACCCGCGGATGAGGACTAGGGTGGGAGATTGGCCAAGGAAAGGACTTGGATGTGGGATGAGTTGAGGCCGGGCGCTTGGGTGGATGGTTTATGCATGGACTTGGTTTGTGTGGAGGTTGCATGAAAGGTCTCTCTCATGTGCAATGCGACCCCTAAAAAGACTAAGGGTGGTCTTGGATAGGTGATGCGATGCTAGTGGCTCTCGCAAAAAAATATAGCAGCTAGGGGTCCGGGCGCCGCCGCCTTACCCCAAGGATGCCGCCGGGGCTGCCCAGAGCCGTTAGGCTTAGTGAAAAGGTGCGTGGCCTAATGGATGACGCTTGGCCTGCGCACGATAAGAAGATGAGACTTCAATGAACTGCCTGGACTGCCTGCGTATTGGAAGGAGCAATTGCCTGGTCAGACCTAAATGAATCAAGAAAACGCCACGAGTGCCTAAAGAGCTACCATCTTGACGCGAGAGCGGAGCTACATCCCCCAATGTAAAGCCCTCTCGCACAAGGCCCATCCCCATCCATCCCATAGCACTAGGTGGGGGTGCCCCTGGGACGAACGACCCGCGCCGAGAGCTTGAGCGTGGGCGGGTCGAGCCAAGTGGGACCCGCAGTGGGGTCGACCAAGGCTAGAAAGTCCTTCAGGGTACGGCCCCTACAAAAATGGTGGAGGTGTCGGGTATGGGTTAAATTGACCCATACGGTCTCGAGGGGGGCGCCCGACGCATGACCGTTAACATAAACATGAAGATAAGGAATATGGGTTTGTGTATGCTCTATCCCTTGAGAGAATCAGATTTGAGGGTGGTTGGGCGCATGGCAAGGCCAGGCCTGGAGGAAGAACATGCATGCTTGCACTTTTTGATCAGCCATCTCCTTTGGAGATGACTTTAGTCCTCCTTTCCTTGGACTGATGTTCGACAGGCCGGGGAAGCCTTGGGCAAACCGCAGGTCGACCCTTCCTCTTTGTATGAAAGAAGGGCTCCGGTCACCTGGCAGGCGGTTGGGATTCCGGGCCAGTCCGGGTTCCAATGAAAATCCAGCGGCGGAGTGATCCGACCGACCTTGGTGCTTTCTCTCCTCCTCTTTGGAGCCCAGCGGGCTCCGTGCACCGCACTTAAAAGCTTGAAGGAACCTCATATGAACACAAACGGTAATCGAGAAGGAACAATCTTGCCCTATGAACGGACACACAAGCGAAGATAAGGGAATGAAGGGAGTTGCTAGACTCCAAGAAAAACTAGCTCACCTTTGAAGATGCTCACGAAAAGGAACCGGGCACTATGTATGGAAGTTAAGGGTGAGTGGCATGCACTGTCCTGAGTGAAAACCTGTGAGCAATGGGTAGGAAGCGCTGGGTTCACCTGGGGAAAGGCACTTGTGTTATGTGTGTCCCACCTGGGACTTGTGTTTGCATGATGGGGATTCGAGCGTCCTGGCTTTCGGGAGGAAAGGATTAGTTTGCGCCGGCTGGTGCGGGATGCGAAAGGTCGTCCTCTTTGAAGTTCATCGGGTTTCGTGTGTGGGGGTCGGGCCACTGGGCCGTCAGGCAAGGGTTGGTCTCGTCGGCTGATTAGTAGCATTCTCACCCGAGCAGTCCGAGCATGGCTCGATGACCTTGCCCAGGCGGGGTGTGAAACGTCTTCAGGTGGGGGCTGCTTGTCAGCAGACGGCAGGGGGACCACTGCATATGGGGCAAGGAAGGAGCCTCGGAGGCGATTAAAAACTTCTTGTAGCATGGCTTGGAAAAAGTTGATTCTTGTCGGACCGATGGAAGTGAATGTCTGGACGGCCGACTCCAATGGCCTTACCGAGATGTGCGGGGTGATTCCCGAGATTAACGGTGGGTACACGAGTGGCAAGTCGGGATGGGGTATTCTGGGTAAGGAGGAAAGGGCAAATGCCTTGCCGAGACCTGGGTACCGTGCTCGCGACGGTTGAGCTGCGCTCGAGGTATGGGGTAAAGCCCTACCGATAGTAACAGTGGAGAGACCATTTCCGAGGAAGAGGTCGGTGAGGAGATGACCGACCTGTGTGCGACGTTTGCCTGAGTTTTGTTTTTTGTGCCTCCCTCTGTAAAGTTGCCTGATGAATGTTGGATAGGGACCGGGTCTCTAGTCTATTCTCAACCCCGGCCTAAGTCTGCACGAGTGAGAGAACATGAGGAAGAGGCTGGATAGGAGTCGGAAGAAAGTGGAACCAAGAAAAAGGAATGCGAACCACTGGTGATCGATTGGGGGTGTGGTAGGGGAATGGCACCTGGGAAATGGATAAGGAAAGGTAGGGAGACCCGGATGAGGGGTCTGAAAACAATTCTCATCTAGAAATGGAAAGAAAACTATCTGACCATGGGGGGGCCGTGTGGTGCTCTCATGTGAAAGCAGGACAAGCGCCGCGAAACAAGATGGCGCGATGGTTGTCACCTCCTGTCTACTCTAGTGGTCCGGAAATGCCTATAGAAGTAAGGGGTGGGGAATCTGTTGTTCTCCCGGAGGAAGGGACGTGGACCGACCTAGAACCAGCCTATGAAACCGTGATGCTGGACGAGAAGGACGCGTTCCTCTGGATAGAGATAATCTGGACTAAGGTCAGCCTGACGAGACTCTCACCTAGCTTGATGGATCTAGAATTCCGGGGAACATTGGAAGCTCGAGGATGGGTCTATCTGTCGCAGGAATTGGAAAATGCAATGGTAGTGGGACTAGTATTGGGCACGGCACCGGATCGGCTGTTTAGGCAAGTGGAACAGGGGGTGGTATGGGCAGCGTGTCAGCGGGCAGAAATGGAGATGGAAAGGATGGAGGTGCGAGTGGAACTCGAGGACCGGGAGAAAATGAGACGACCTCTTAGGACAATGAGGTGGATGCAGTCTTTGGGACCAGGGATAGACTGGAACGTATATGCCAATCAATGACACGCCTGAGGCTGTACTAGTGTGCTAGACAAGACTTCTTTAGACTGTCGGTGGAAGCAGGGCCATTTGAAGGAAACTGGGCGGAAAAATTAGCTGAGGTGTTAAACCTCCTCAGCGCGGACGAAGTTTTTGTTCCTAGCCCGGTACATTGGCAGATAATTTACCGGAATGTGGCGGCGGGGGAGACCTTCTTGGAAGGGGTGAAAGAGCTGTTCTTGGACGAGGAGGATTTCAGTGATGACGAGGACGGGGACGAGATAGAGGACTGGGACTTTTGAAAAGGATGGAGGGACTTGTCTGGGAAACGGGTTGTCGACTATGTGCAGGTAGGGAGCGATGGTCCGGGAACTCGAACTATGGGACTGCACGTGGGAACCGAAGCGAGTCAGGAGGGGAGTAGAGATGTCTATACCACCGAGTTATGAATGGAAGGGGACCACATGTGACTGGCGGGGGCATGAAATTGTGCCAGAATTGTCGTACCTATGGATAGAACGTGCTTGGAACCCGTTGAGGGAGGAGGACGGATGGGAAGAGATTGCGGAAGGAAGGGTGGAATCAATCGGGACGATCGTTCTCTCTGAACAAGGCTGGCACGAGTTCTGCACAACGCTCGTGGCAGGACAGGACCCGATGTGGCTTCTAGGGGACGCAGAGGCAAGGGTTCGGCAGGCAGGGGAAAAGTTCGCCAACCAGGGTTGGGATACGGTCGGCAGTAGAGTCGTAATGGGAGGGTGGAAGGAATTTAAACCGCCTGGCACCTGAACCAAGACCTGGGTGCCCGAGTTCGTGGCAGACTGGTTTGGGGTCTTTGATCACATAACAGAGGTAGCCGACACGATGGAACGAATACACGTGGACTGCACATGGCTGGCAGAGGAATTTTATAGGACGTCCTTGAAATTCGGGCCCTTCCACGGTGATAGAGCCCGGGAGGTCCTTATCATTTTGGACATTGAAAGGAATGACCGGCAGGAGGTGGCCCCGGAAACTAGGGAGGCCATAATCCGCCGTGAGGTAGCAGCAACACCTTGCTATGTGGATGATGTGTTCAAACTGTTCGAGGTACTGTGGTTCGACTAAGCGCGGGAAAGCCGTGGGGCCAGGCAAATATGGGAAAAATTGCTAAGATAAGGGAATGGGATGTTTGGTCGTTGTAGGGTTCAGTGCGGAGCACGAGTCAGGAGATCAAAGGCGAATGTGCGATGGCGCGAAGAAGGACGTTCCTCGAGGAACGCCCCTTGGGCATTGAACCGCCTAGAGAAGTACCGGGTGGGAAAGAGGTTAGCTTGCCGGCGGCAAATGAAGGCTGGCACCAGGTGGCAGATTGGGTCGGGGTCGAGCTTGCGGAAAATATGGTTTACTTGGTGACGAAAGTTGAGTGGCGTGCGAATGAGAATGGGGAATGGAACCCGGACCTGCAGGGGCATGTGAGTGCAGAAGGACGACTGTATATGTCAGAGGATGGGTGGAGGGAGTTCGGAGTTCGGCTGGCGTCAGGAGAAGACCCGTTGAGCATGTTTGAAGGGGCATGGCAGTTTGTGTGGCGAGCGGGGTTTGAGTTCGCGGACCCAGGGATGGATGATGTAACAGCAAACCTTAGGGTAGCCATGGTCGGGAGCTTTGAATTGCCCAGTGAAAATGTACGAATGAGGTTGCCGCCCTTTCTGCTGGAAAGGTTGGGCGGTCTGGGACTTGTTAGACAAGCGGTAGCCGACCTCGCAAGCCTGACATATGAAGATGCGATGGTACATCGAGAATACTATCGGGCTTTCCTAGAAATGGGCCCGTTCAGTGGAGAGCAGAAGTATGAGGTGTTGCGCATCCTACATGCTGTGTTTAGCACCAGGCCGAGGGCTCCGATCGCGGGAAGTGAGGTCCTGTGGGGTGTCATCCGACGGGAAATAAGTCAGGGGATGGTGTACGTGGATGATCTGTACCGATTGTATGAGCCGATGGACGTAGGGATGAGCCAATAAAAGAGGTCAAGGAAAGAACAGGAAGGTTCAAGCTAGAGACCGGGGAGTGTTCGGGCGGGAGCTGAAGACTAAATGAAATAAGTAAAACCGCTTGCTGTTTAAACTGTGCAGGGGACTACTAAGTCAAAAATGACAATGAGACGCGCCCGGATACTGCGACAGTCCACACACCCGCGGCCACCCACGGAAAGTGGAGGCGGATGGGAGGTATCGCTCCCAGCAAGCTATACATGATCCAAGGATTGGACATCGAATGAAGGGTCGTGACCCTGGGATGAGGACAGGCGTTCATGATGGTGGAATGTTTGTGGGATGGTATGAGGATTAACAGGGGACCGGGAAACGATCTGTACACCGACCTTAGGGTAACGGGGACCGTGTACCTGCCGGAACTTGGATGATACATGCTAGGAACAGAATTGGCACTAGGTCACGGGTTGCTATCAATCTTCCAGAGGGCTACTAGGGTGTTGAACAGGGTGGGCCAGGAAGTGCGGGGGAGAAGAAACGTGGGATTAAGAACTCGGGTGGAGGTCAGAGGGTGGTGAGAGTTTAAGGCCCCAATGACCGGGTTGAGGTGTCGAGTACCTCGTTTCATGGTGGACTTGGTATTCGGTAGCCTCAAGAGAGCTAGGGACCTGGTGGACTCGACCCTGGTCTGGATCCACCTCTTCCGGCCACAAACAACGAGCATGTTCTACGGTCAGACATGGGCCGTTCTGGGGGAATCAGGCCTGGGAACTACTCGAATTACTCGAGATCTTGATATTCGGATTGCCCCACCTGTCGTTCGAAGAATATGAGCCAATAATTATCAGGGAAATAGAGATGGGGGAAAATTACCTTGCTGGGTTGGCTGACCTGTTCGAGGAACCGCATGAGAAAACGTGTCAGGGAGAAGTAAGGAAATAAAGGATGGGTACTAAGATAAGTAGGCAGCCATCAGCAAAAGAGGGGCAGTGGTTGGAGTTCCGGCCGACCCAATGATGCGGCAGGGAGGAACCAGGAAGACCACCCGCTCCAAAGATTTCGGGGCACCTGGATGCCAATAAGCCGAAAGGGTCATCCCCGATAGGAATGCCACTGGGCTTAGGCACCGCCCTACGAATCAAAGCGCGACAATAATGAAATGCCAAGTGGCGGCAGCAAGGCTCCGGTAGAAGAAAACCTGAAGGACGCCCTGGGAGAGAAAAGTCAGAAGAGTCGTACTGATTAATGTAAGACGCGAAAACAAGGGAATAGGCGGGTTTTAGGGCCGGGGCTAGGGCGACCATTTTTCGCAAATAAAATTTTTCCCATGTGCAGGCTAGGTAAAGGAATGGCGACTGAAGAAGGGATCAATGACCAGCAGAGCGGAGGGAATCAGGGCACGAATGGGGATGGGGAGCGAAACGAGGGATCAGCCAGGGATCGAGAGTCAACCAAACTGGAAGAAACCCGAGAAGACGGGAAGGACCTCTCAACTGGAGAAAGTTTGGGGAAAGCTGGGGGTAGTAAAAGGGGACCTCAGGAAAACAGGGAAGGGGGAAACGATGTGAAAACAAGCCCTCAGAACTCAGCAGGAACCACCCCTAAAAAGACGAAAGTCTTGGATACCCGTCGTAAATTGGCAGAGATACAAAAGCGGACTGCAGAATTTAAGGCAAGGCTTATCGAGCAGATGATGGCTGGGGATGAGGAGGACCCCCAGGACGCAGGGTCACGTGAAGGGCGCAGGATCGGTCAGGACGAGGCCAGGTATGAAGGAAAGCATAATAGTCACAAGGGAACGCCTAATAAGAAGGGGAAGGACAAGGACGACCCCCCGACGGAAGGGATGGAAAACGCTATGACCCCACCCGCCATCGACAGCGGCACTAGCAGACTGCCCGCCACGCCGAAAGCAACAGGGGCATGTGACGGACTCTGGAGCCTTAGGGAAAGAGTGCTAGGATGGTTTGACCCAGAAGGAACGCCAAAAGCCAGGGAGAAGCAGAGGGAAAGCAAGGAAGGGGAAGGGACCAGTGCAACCGGAGAAGCGGGTGCCTGTGAAGATGGTCTCAAGAGGGTAGTCACTACCCTCACCCGGACACTAAACAAGAACCAGGGGTATCTCGCAAATGCAAAGAGGAAACTCACGTTCGATGGGGCCAACATTACGGAGTTTCTAATAGACTATGAGAACCTAGCAGCCTTACTGAAATGGACGGAAGAGGAAAAGATGGAGCACCTAGGGCAGCACGTGTCGCTAAGCTTGGGAAGGGACATTATGGCCATCGTCGCCTCCAGTGGATCCTGGAAAGAAACCAGGAATGACATAATGAGGAAATACCTGAAGGCAGAGAAAATGGCAACAGAGGCCGAATTAGCTGCAGTCCAGAGGAAAAACTATGCGACTTACAACGATTTCCTAAGGGCGTTCACGTTAGTGGCTCTGCGAATTCCCGGGGTAACGAACCGCATAATGAGTAAATACTTCCTCAGGCAGTTCTCCGAGTTTGATAAAGATAAGATTTTGTCAGCATACCAGCAGACCAGTAAGTTCGAATACATGAGAGATGTGGACTTCAGCACCGTAACAGACCTTGCGGAAAAGACAGTGGTTACCGGGACGCTAGCCCTGCTTAAGGAAGGGGAGGTCATAGATCTGACCGGGAAGACGGGGGATAAGGTCAAGAAGGGGATAGAGAGCCTGCACAAACAGGTGCACGGGGTTTGACAGCAAGATGGACAGAATGGAAAATGCGTTGTTAGTAATGCAGGCGCAAGTGTCCAAACCAGCCCTCCCGCCCCAAGAGGCCGTGGTTCCGGCAGCTGTAGCAAACCGGGGGTTTGGCAGGAGGGATCCGGCCAACGAACAATGCAAGTATTGCACCATGATCGGGCACTTCGTACGGGCCTGTCCGAGACTTAATCACGATATCGAGCGGCAGAGGTGCAGTAGGTCCCTCAAAGGCGAGATCCTCGGACCCAGGGGGGAGCGTGTCAATTGGAACTCGCCAGGAGGGATGCGGCGAGCCGTCATCCTCCTGAATAACTTAGAGATAGCTGCCGTAGAAGTTGAGCCGATAGCCGAGATTGTCTGGGACCAGCCAAGTAATGGGGGCCACAGGCCAATTTTATCCTAGAAGGCAATGGCCAGGATAGGGTAAATATCACCACTCGCCGGGCCGGCGCAAAAAAGAAGCTTATTGAAGATACAGTAATAACGCGTGTGAGGGTAACCGCAACCTGACGATGGAAGAACTCGCAGGGACTAGCATGGGCCAGCAAGAGACCGAAGTCGGGGAACAAGAGAAGGTCTATGGGAAGCCAAGGGAGGACGAACCAGTAGACAAGGCTACGGCGGCAAAAAAGAAGTTTAGGTATCAAATTCCGATTCTGACTTTGCCAGAAATCGATAGCACCTTGAGTAAGCTACTGGGTACCATGGTATCGGTGTCTTTTCAGACCATGCTGCAAGCCAGCCCGAGGCTGCTTAAAGGACTCAGGCAGTTGCTAACGCGTAAGCGTGTAGAAGTAGAGGAGGCCCCGGAATTGCAGGAGAAGGAGACAGAAGAGGCAGAGGCACCCCAGGGTGTCTCCAACCTTCAAAGAATTCCCGGGGATTTGGAGGACCTGGAAAAGGCCTTTGTAGACATCCGCCTAAGCCTACCGGACCGAGAAGGGGGCAAAGTCATGAGGGCGCCACCCGGGACGAAGCTTAGCTTCCATGCACTGCCCATAGGAAAACTTAAAATCCAAATCAGAACTCACCACACTGACGCGTTAGTGGACGGCGGTGCAGAAATTACCCTCATACGACGAGATTTCACAACGGTCACGGGGTGCACGGTAAACAAGGAAGTTGTGGGGAGTATCCGGGGAGCCGGTGGCGAAATTCCTTTCACAGGGTATGTCACCAAATGCGCGTTTAAGGCAGGAATTCGGGAATCCATCTGGTCTTTCCAACGGATGACCGTCATGGAAGAAATGAACCACGACATAATCCTTGGGAGACCATGGTGCACCAATTTAGAAATGATAGGAATGCATCTGCATGACGGCACATACATGGTAGACATAGAGGACCCAGTGACCGGTCGTGGAGAACTTGTCCGACTTCTTGGGACCGGAGGGGACCCTCCAAAGGGCAAATTGGCGACCTGGTCTCCAACATTCGAAGAAAGTGCGGAAGGGGGCTTTCGCACGAATGGAAGGCACGAGGGAAAGGGTAGAAATTATGACTGAGGAGGCTTTTAGTAAAAAGGAATGGATCAAGATGGGCTTGCCCGTAAAGAAGAGGAGGCCAGAGGACGAGTCCCTGGGGTTTATGGTGGCGGAAAAAGAGTTGGAAGTTGAGCTCGGGGTCAGTCTGCCCAAACCAAAGGAAGGCCATAATGAGACCCCCAAGCTAGCGCTCGAAATCCCAGATGTGTTGGAACTTGTTGAGGCGATCAGGTACCGCAAAGTGGGGGTCGACCCAGCAGCACTTGCCAAGTTCGAGGATGAGGTCCGAAAAGGTTACTGCCTGAACGGAAAGATAGTTGGCATTCAGCCCTGCATCCTGGAGGTAGCAAGGCCAATCCCGACCGTTCATTTTTTAGGAGAACGATCCCAGAAGGCAGTGTGCGAAAGTATAAACCCGTAGGCAAGAAGGCCAAGCCGGTCTCGATCCTAGTAGAAACGTCGAAGGAAGAGGCCATGGAGAAAGAGGAGGAAATCTTGCGGGTAATAAGGGAGAGGCGAGCAATGGAAGGGCATCGCATATCAGATGAGGTAGCAGATACCATGAAAATAGGAGTGGAAGGATTCCTAACACCGGAAGAAACACGGTACTCGCAGTTCAAGAAGGAAGTCTTAGCAATCCTATATTGCCTTAAGACCTTCCATGCATACCTGTTTGGGAGGCGATTTATCCTAAGGATCGATCCCATCAACGTTGTCGGGGCCCTAAAGAACTACAAGCCTATAGATCCGACCGTTGGCAGATGGATAGGCTTCATATGGCAATTTGATTATAAGGTCGAGCGGATTGCGGGGCTTCGAAACAGGGCAGATGGCCTGAGCAGGGTATGTATCACGCCCGAAGGAATAGAGGATGCGGAACCAATCGACGCTTTCCTGGAGTATGAAGGAGGGACCCTTGTGGTGGATAATGAGATGGCAGATCCAACAATTACAACAGGTCAGTTGTTGATTCAGACCTCGGAAAAAGGCGCGCCTCCAGTAGTTGCAGAACTCAGGGAAGGACCAGCCACCACGGTCAGGCGTAAAGAGGAGAAGGACTCGTGGGGAGCAGAAGTAGGGGCGAGGGAAGAGCTGATGGCGATGGCCGTGGAAGGGGGACGGGATGTCGTAATGACGTTGGCCGAAACTTGGGCGCAGAAGGAGTGTCAGTACCTAGTCAACCTCACTCGGGAGGAGCAAGGTATGGATCAGAACGAACAATAATTCTTCCTCATACAGATGTATGAGGGCGTCTTCAAAGAAATCGGTCTGCTGCTTGTAGGGAACAAACAACCCACGAAAGTCTGTCCCAAGGCAAGGGAGGAAGTAGAAAAGTATGTCCTAAGAAATGGCCACCTGTTCAAGAGAAAGGAAGGGATGATGCCTAGACGCGTCGTTTGTGGGAGGTCTAGGCAGCTGGACGTAATTTAGGCAATGCATGATGGGCTAGCTGGGGGTCACCGGTCGTCAAAGGGGAAACTTGCAAAGATTGTGCCCCTGTATTTCTGGCCAGGAATGGCAGGCATGGTCGCAACGTACTGTCAGACGTGTCTGATATGTCAAGAAAGGAGTGTCGTACGAGTTTACGAGCCCCTTAGACCCACCCGGGTACTGGGACCCGGACACCTTGTTCACCTCGACCTTGCCGTTATGCCCATATCAACGGATGGGTTTAGATACATCTTGGATGCAAGGGATAATCTCAGTGGCTATGTAGAAGCCGTAGCCCTCAAGAAGAAGACGGGGAAAGTAGTGGCCGACTGGGTGGAAGATTTCTACCTAAGGCACCCCTTCGTGCGCAAGTTTATAGCAGACAATGGGACAAAATTCTTTAACCAGGAGGTGTTGAACAGGCTTAAGACACTGTGTGTACCGATCAAGATCACCGAGCCCTACCATCCTGAGGCAAATGCACCAGTAGAAAGGGGTCACCGGACTTTGAAAAACACAATCGCAAAGTTGGCAGCAGATAATTTAGGAAGTTGGCCACGGTTTCTCAAGCAGGCAGTCTTCGCCGAGAACATGACTCCAAAAAGAACAACGGGATGTATTCCAGCAGAACTCTGGTATGGAAGGGAGATCGATTTTTCGATAGAAGCTTTGGTCCCTACCTGGAACAGGCTAGATGACGACCCACACTTGAGCACGGAAGAGTTAATCACCGCACGTTGTCTGCAGGTCGCGAGAAATGAGGAGGCACTCGAGGAAGTAGTCAATCGTGTGACGGATAGCCGAATGAGGGATAAAGCAAGATGGGACCAGGTCAAGAACATTCGGAAGGAGCCACTCCAAGTGGGGGAAAAGGTGCTAGTTAGGAACTCGGCTCTTGAAAGCACATGGTCCGGGCAGCTGGGAAAAAAATTCAAAGGGCCTTACACGATCGCTAAGCGGGTGGGACTGAACACATTTGAACTTGAGGATCTCGATGGTACTAGCATAAGAGGGTCATTTCCGGGACAGAGACTGGTCAGATTTTTTAGCAGGGACCCGGTGGAATAGTGGCTACAAGAGGCCCAGGACAGAGAAACTGGGGAATTGACAGCCTAGAAGGCAGGCAACTGACTATAAGTTCTGGACCGCCTCCCTGTGGAAGTGATCATGACCACAGGGATTGTTCGTTTGTGTGTCTTGACTTTTGTGGAACGTGTGGAGACTGCCTGGGCTAATTGTGACTGGGCCTGGGAGCACGGGACAGTGTATTATAGTTTTGTGGGGTAACGCTGGGGACTGTCTACACGAGGTATTTATGTGCTGGGACAATGTACCATAGTTTTTGTGGGGTGATGCTGTGGATTGCCTACATGGGGCACCTATGTGTTGGGACAATGTGTCGAGGGTTCTAAGGGATAATGGGGCTACCAACTATATGGGGGCAAGCAAGAGTTCTAGGGAAGCCTCCAAAGCCGCAAATGGGAGTGGAAGGGAATGCGTGTGTGTGAGGGGTACCATGACTGTTATGTATGAACAGGGCCAGACAAGAAGAAGAAAGACAACAAGAAAACGAAAAAATGGAGTTTGGGAATGAAAATGACAGCAATGCAATTAACAGGCCGGAAGAGGGACATTTGTCAAGGCAAGCTGGAGAGTCAAGCTCCAGGAAAAGGAAGTTGTATGTGGGGTTCGATCACAACCTAGTTGTGAACAGGGGGGGCAGAAAGCAAGGAACCAGGGGGCCATCGCCACTAAGGGAAGGGGAGCTAATAGTCCTCCCATCAGAAAGTGACACCAGCAGTGAGGAAGAAAGGAACCCAGGGAAAAGGCCAAGGTTGGAGGAGGACGTGCCCGTGGAGTTTATCGACCTCACCAGCGACGAGGAGGAAGATGAGGTAACAACGCCCACAAGGGAAGAACGGGGAAGAGGGGAGCAGCCGGGTGAGAAAAAGGACAAATGGATAGAAGAGTTCGGACCTGAGTTCAACGATTGGTTTGATCAATGGGGCACTATCTTGCGATATCAGTGGATTATGCAGGCAAGGGAAAAGTTGGGCAGGGGAGAGGATCTATCCCCAACAACCTTCTTCACTGAACGGACACTCCTCTAGTTCCAAGGAATAAAGAGGCAAATGGAGCAGGAAATGGAGGATCGCGCAAGGAGGGAGGCTCAACGCAGGCCACCTGGACGATAGAGGCACAACAGTCGTAATGAGGAATAGCTAGGAGTTGGGAGGGTTTGGTCCCTGGGCAGTCAGAGCTGCCATTTTGGACTTCGCATTTGAACTTTTTTCGTGAATGAATTTTCTAAGCTCGAAGTGACTAAGGACTGGGTAGTCGGCGCTACTTCGTACGAATGGTTGCCTCTTTAGGGAAAGGCATGAGGGTTTTGCACTTAGAATATAATTATGGATGGCTGGGTAGATTAAGGGAAAGAAAAAGGGGAAACAACAGGGATCTAGATGAAGACGAGTTTGTAATGTTGGCTTCGCATTCGAACTCTGTCTCCTTATTTTTCCTTGTAAGGGCTGCAATGAAACTACTTTTGGATTGAGGGAGCTAGTAGAGGGTGGGTGATCAGGGCTACTTTGTATAAGTATTCGCTCCGTTTGGGAAATATGAGCTTTTTGGGTAGTAAGAAAGGGATTGGGGGCTGGTTGACTTAATGGGCAGCGGCATGTGAACTCTTGAGCGTTGGAAGAAACATTCATGACGAAAGTCTTTCCTTTGAGTTATGTATCCATGATTGAATGAGTCCCTCCACGAGTCCTTGTGAGAGGTTAGGGGACCTATGGGTAGAGAGGCACCCTCTCCCCTAGGAGCCTAATCCAACCTACCCCAGGCAATCCCACAGCATTGAGAAGCATATGAGAAGTCAGAAAAGTGGCAGGGAAACAATGAAATGATGCAACACCCCTTGCAATGGTTGAACGGTCGGGCGGGCTAGTGCTGCTTGGGGCCGCGAGCCTCAACTTGAGTACTAGACGCTAAGTTGGATGTATGGATGGATGTAAGAATGACAAAAGACATGAGGAAAAGGAAGAAGCATGCGTAAAAACCCAAGATGATGGCCGCCCTCTAACCCCCGAGACGAGATAGGATCCGTGTCCTCGAGGCCCACCCCCTCGGGGGCTAACATTGCAATGGACAAGGATGGCCCTAACCAGGCTGTTCAATTGAAATGGACAAGGATGACCCTAATCAGGCTGCCCAATTGAAATGGATAAGGATGGTCCTAAACGGGTTGTCCGATTGCAATGGATAAGAATGGCCTAACCAGGCTGTTCGACTTGGAAATGGAAAGAACGACCCTAACCAGGTTGTTCGGAATGACCCCTGACAAGGGTCATTCTTTGGAATTGGCACTGGGGTCCCCTTGCATGGCTGCTTGTGATGCATGGAATTGGAAGAGCGGAGCTTTGGAAAAGAAGAGCTGAGCTTTGGAAAAGAGATTGGAAGAACTCAGCCTTGGAAAGGATATTGGACTCAGCCTTGGAAGGGATATTGGATTGAGCATTGGAATTGGATTGAGCCTTGGAATTGGGTTGAGCATGGGAACGAGATTGAGTATGGGAATGAGACGGAGCATTGGAATTGGATTGAGAATTGGAAATTGCATCGCATAAACAGGGGACCCTAGGCAACTTGAAATGAACTCGGAAAGAGCATTGAAATGGAATTTATCGTTTCTTCTAGTCTTTGGCCTCAGCAAGAGGGGGATACCGGTGCATGCACCGCGACCCCAAGACCTCTATCCCTTTGGGGGAAAAAGTCTCAGCGCGACCTGTTCCTCTTCGAGAGGACGAGGGTTAAAGGACTAAAGCACCTACCACTTGGATCGGTGCGGGACGTCCGGAACCACCCCCGACAATGAGCTCTAGTCGGGGAGTTCCAATTGCGCCTCCTGTTAATTGCCTAAACGTCAAAGGGCGAGAGAGCCAAATGGGCAGGAAAGCCATTCTCATCTAGTCTATTTTGCTACCCTCCAACCACACGCCATGCCATGGAGGGGTGGCATGGCCGTTTGGGTCGGACCACGGCTGCCCGCGCTAAGTTGGGCGGCACTGTCCAAGGGGAGAGGCTTGGCGGAGTATCGGGTGGAGTCCGCGGCCACCACGGGGCACTGACACTGCCCTGCCGGAGCATTACAACCGCTTTGGGACTAATTGCGAGGTCTTCGTAACTGCACTCGCGAACTAATTGAGAGCCCCAACTCTCTTGAAAGAAAGAGGCCGGAATCCATAAAATCACCACTCGGGAGGAACGATTCACGAGGAACGCTCTTACGGCTAGACGAGGCCCTGGGAGGCTTGGATTGGACCTGCCTGACAGACGTGCGGAGGAACCTCAGTGTTGGTGCTCGCCACGTAAGAGAAGAAAGGTCGGACCGAGTAGGAGGATGAGGCGTCGTCCGCTGGGAAGGAACTGATCACTCTTTCTTTTGTGAAGCGGATGGGCTTGTGTCCTTGACTGCGGTTGGTGGGCCAAAGTTCTCGTGCCTCCGAGTGAGAACCAGTCGCGCGATGAGGACATCGCGTTTTGAGTGGGAGGAAGGCGTGCCATCTACCAAAGAATACGCATGGGAAAAAGATTTGTGACTGGTTTGCATGAGCCTGAGAAAAGAGAACTTGGCAAGACACCCAGGGCAGAAAAAGACTTGTAATCGATTTTGCATGAGCCTTACAGAAGGGGGCCTGGCAAGAAGCTTCGGGGAGAGGAAAAATTGTATTGAAAATGAGTGGACGTCCTAAGAAGTAATGAATGAGATGAAACCAAAAGGATTTCTGCTCGAGAATGTTTTCTCAATGAAATGGGAAGATAGATCTTAGATTATGAATGCAGCCTTCAAGACATTGTCGAGAGCGAGAAATAACGTACAATGAAAAACTACCTGCAGGACATGTCTGTGGTCAGACCCCTCCAAGGGGCGATGCTAGTGAACTTGATGAGGGAAAGAGACATCAAACTGCTTAAGCTCCTTGGCGTGTTGCTAGCTTGCACCTGGAGGAAGCCATGGCAAATGATCCTTGTAACATCCGTCACCAAAATCCCCCTTTTACCTTGGTCCCTGGGGAGGGTGATGGGCGCGTCGTCCTCTCTCGGGTGGAACGATACGGGAAGTTGTAAGGAAGCTCTTGGGTATTTGGGAGTTCCAATGAGAAAGAGATACAGCTGTGAGACGGACATTGATGCACAGGGAGTGTTACACACTCGTTACAAAGACATTATTGAGCTTGGGGACGTTACGCAATCCAAAGGGAACCCGAAACAAAATCTTGACCCCTCCATACCCTCCCCCGCCCAAGGGGCGGAAACTTAAAGAAGGACCCGAGAAAAGAGTGGGAAAGCCAAAAAGAACCCTGGCAAGCTAACTACGCATCCCACCCCACTCCCCTTCCTTGTCTGTCTATCACTCCAAAATCCCTACTAACCATGGATTAGTGCGTGATGAGGACATCGCGAATGAGTGGGGGGAATATGTCGGGATTGGTGAGTCCCGAATGATTTCCCGTCACTCGAGAGACTGTATATGACCAGTTTGTGCACGGCAGAAAAAAACAGAGGCAGGAATGTTGAAAAGATCGGAAGCGTGGGCACGAACGGTAGGAAGCTAGAGGCTGCCCAGAATCGTCAGGACCGCCAAAACTAGAAAGGGACTGGCTAAGCAGGGAGCGACAAGGGACTGTGAGAGAATAGCAGGGGCGACTGTTTCCCCAAGGACGGAGAAGGGCCACCGGGAAGTCGGTAGTAGCATAGGGGGTGCGCAACAAGGGAAGGAAGGAAAGTAGGAAGGGAGGGCGCAAGGCGCGGGTGCGACACTGCGGCAGGAAGGCCAAGGAGATCGCAGGATAAGTGGGAACCGGCATCCGAAGGGGAACAACGTGTGGGACGCAAGGGGGAACGGGGAGCGAAGACCGCCGTAAGGCGGAAGGACGTCAGAAGCACCAAGGAAAGACATGGTACAAGCGGGACGAAGTGCCAAGAACTGCGTGAGACCAAGGGATAGACGTGGTGCAGGCAGGCCGAAGGGCCAGGGACCGCATGGGCCCAGACAAAATGACAGCACCCGCGGAACCACTAGGAAATTGGGTATCGACGGAATAAAAGTGTCAGGAGCCATGGACAGGGGCCGAAGGTCGGATGCCGTCAGCAAGGTAGTTGGCAACCAGCCCAAGAAGGGGGGACGCGCGAGAGCGGGTCGTCAAGGGGCTAGGAGAAATAAGAAAAGGAGGAGAAGTCGAGCGCTGACAGGAATTGTCAACGGAACGGAGAAGACGGGAACGAGGCGGGAAAAACGGAGGGCACCTAGGGCAACCCAAGGGGTCCTGGATCAAATGCAACGACAACAGAAATAAAATAGCATGACGTCAGGTGGACGGGACCAGCTGGGCCGGGGAGTCCGAATGAAAACGTTAAGTGCCGCTGCGGCAGGCGCCGGCGGAAGGTGCTGAGGGGAAAGAAAAGATGGAATAGTGGCAGTAAGAGGGGCCGGCCAGCGGTCCAGGCTATCCCGGACCAGCCAGGCCAAGAAAAACGGAGTCCCGAGGACTCCACGTGGAGAAAAGGCTGGCCAGAGAAAATCGGAGCAAACTGGGAGTGGCGGCAGCAAAAAGGAGCCCCCTTGGACCCTGGGGTTGCCACTACTTCAGTCCGGGGTCTAACGGCCATATGTCGGCTGCAAAATCAGGCCTTGGGAAAGGTCCAACAACTAGAAAGAGGAGAAATAGCTGTTGGACACTTGTCCCAACAGTAAATGAGAAAAGAAAGGAAAAAAAGGGGGGAGAATGAGACAAAGGAGGAGAAAGGAGTGGAGGAAAAAGTGCCGCCAGGTTGGAACTGCAGAGGTAGGGACTGGCAGGTCCCAATGATGACCTCATCCCTCCTAGATCCTAGGTGGGCAGTCCGGATTGCAGAGATAAGGTCCTTGGGGCATTATATCTGCAACATCTGAATTTAAGCAACAAAAATAAGGGAAAATGTGGATGTGAGTTGGCCGGCTCATTTTTGGGCCTTAGATCTGAATTCTAATCTTGCGAAGGAGGAGATGTAGCCGTTTTTTGTGGGCTGACACAAAACGGCTAGCTCCGGAATGAGTTGGCAGCAAAATGGAGGGAAAACAAAGAGAGGAACAAGACAAAACTGCGAATTTGGCCCAAGGTTGGGCCAGGTACATCAAAAAAATTAAAAATTGGAGCAAAAGACTCAAATTTGGAGCAAGGGGACCTTGGAGTAACTCGGAATGATGAGAACCATAGATCTCAGCCAAATCCAAGGCTGAGATCTGTGCCGCCACTTAGGAAAATGCAACGGCCTACC